CATCATCATCATCATCATCATCATCATCATCATCATCATCATCATCAGGCCTGCGGCGCGTGCAGGATCGAGCACGTGCCGGTGCCCGCGTCGTCTTCGCGTCGGTCGCGCGCGCGAGGCCTCCGCAAAATGGCGATTGGTTCATGGACTGCCGCTCTGCGGGCTGGAAGAGGCCAGCGAGTGTGGGTCGGGAGTGAAGGTGACGTCGTTTTTCGTGTGCAGGGCGAACATGGATTGTTTTCAGCCAAGCTAATTGCTTATGTGACAATGTGAACGGTGGGTCTTGAGATAGTGTAGGTTTGCCAGCCGCGTGTCGCAGCAGTGAACAAGGTTCGTGCCAATGTCCCCCTTCCATGCCTTTCCATCAATCAGATTGCTGAGAACTGGAGCTAAGAACCAAGCATGGTGCGGTCGACCAAATTCGTGTGTTGACGGAAATGACATGAAATTCAGCAAAACTGTCGCAAAGCTCTTCAGAATGTCTCTCCCACTCTCAAACAATCAACACCCAAAACCTTGGACTTGGGTTCATTCCTCCAATAGGGATGCTGGAAGCCTTCCATTCCTCAAAGATCCATGGAAAAGTGGATCACCTGCTGCTCACCTGCTTGGGGGATTGTAAAGGTTTACATTCCGAGTCACTAAGGTGGAAGTGGAGTTCAAAACCTGTTTGGTATTCGGATTTCATCCTCTTCCCATTGGCCAAGGGTGTGTCGCAGTAAACCAATATAGCCGGTAAAAGATTACATCATCCGCCAGAGCCTGGTAATGGAAAGACCGTATATATATGTTACTTTACCCAAAATTCAACGACTGCCACCCGGAACTGCCGACTGCAAAATGTTTTTCCTTTTCACAATCCATCCCAACCAAAAGGGAACTGCTTCAAAGCCAAAAGCATCTCCGGTCGCCCAGAAGGTGGCAGTGGATCGCGTGTTTGTAACATCTTGGAAATCCTTGTTTTGTCGATCCAAGCAGTTGATCCCTATGTATGTATAATATATTATATTTAAACATGTGCACCGGTTTTGGATCGATTTATAAGAATTTTGGGAGAAGCTCGATTGTCTTCCGAACTCAAACCCTCCCCTTTGAGCACCGGCACCGGCACCCGCGTGATCACCGGTTCCGCCCCAGGGTATCGTTCCTTGGCACGAACTCATCACAGCTGGGGGGCTGGTGGGAGGAGAGCATCAGCGTCACCGTTCTGCACTGTTCTGCACGAGAGGTGTAATGGTCTAGGTGAGAAGAGGGGAGGAATCGGTAGCGATCAAGTGTACCTGGACCTGTACCTGTCCTTTCTTTGTGTCCTGGACAGGGAGATCCCGGAAAGTAGTGTAGGGGGTTCCAGCCAGGTAACCCGACATCAAGGTGGTAGTTTGATCTGACAAGATCCCAGGTGGTAGTTTGATCCCATTCTGTCCATGTTGATTTCAAGTAGTGGTCCGGCGTCATGAAGCACTGGAAGAGGTGCCAGGGGCGTCTTGGAAGAGAAGACCACCAAGTTCTTTCGTCGTGCGGATCGGGTGATGTTCCCCAACAGGGTGAACCACTGGAGAAGATTCCAATGGAACAAGGACGAAACCGAACAGGGCTCCTGGTATCGCTACGAAGGGAACAAGGACGCTACTGTGTGTTTTCCCTCTTTCTTCCTGGACGGTCACTGCAGGAGAAGATTGGTCTCGAGTTTCTGAAGTCACAGATTCAGTGGAACCGAGAATCCCTAAGGGTCCATGACCATCCGAATCCGACGTCCTTTGGCCCCAGTTCGACCATCGGAACAGGAAGTACGTACTCACCTCCGTTCGACCATCCGAAGTACGGAGGTACCTGGACCCTATAGGGAATACTTCAGGGTCTGAAACGGTTGGTTCCCACAACTTGCAGTGGATTTGTCGGAAAACGGGGGAGCGGTGTGAACCAATCCAAGCAACAGGATGCGCGCGGCGCCTCGGGTCATGTTCGTTTGTAGCGTCCTTGCTCCTAGTAGTACAGCCAGGAGCGGCTAGTAAATTCTTATAGTAGTAAGGCTAGGAGCCCCGTTTGTAACGTCCTTGCTCCTAGTAGCGATGCCCTTGCAGCCAACAAACATATTTTCAAGATTTTTCCGATTCCTATCCCAGACCATCCATGGGACTGGCCTACCTTGGGGTGCTTTGAGGGGTCTTTCTGGGGCGGCACCTATTCAAGTCGGGCACATTCTGGGCGAAACTGCAGATTTGCGGATCTGCATGTGTTTTGGGTCACTTCGCTGGCGTCTGTGCAACTTCTTGTCGCGGATCCTCCGTGGGCGCCCATGAAAAAAACACTGTCCATCGGAGCGAGAGGGTCGGGCACATTGGCTCGTTCTGAGGGACTGCTCTTCCAGCACCACCCAGTTAGGATGATGTATAGACCCCCTGACTTCTGATATCTCCAGACTATGACTATCTCCCTCCAAGTCAATGACCTCGTTAAACTTGTTCATATAGAATTGGAGACAATGACCACTATTTACTTTGTTAGAACCTAGTTTTACTTGGTCCCAATAAAGTTCCGTTAAAGCAAAAAATGGTGTTCATGATCTCTTCAGGTGGTTTGGAAGGGAATCAAAGGCGATTCTGAGTGATATTCCAGGTGTTCTTGGTGGCTTTGAGGCTAAGTATTCGACATTAAGAGCAAAGAGGTCTGAACTGTTGGCAACTATTTAGCGTAACAGGAGCGTAACAGTTCCGTAACAACCCCCTCCAGGAGACTTCTAAAACTGCAAATGATCTTCCAAAACCGTAACAGGAGCGTAACTGGAGCGTAACAGGTCCTTAGTCCCCTTAATGTTTGCAATATGTAAGCAAATCATAGAAAATTGTGACCAGGATGTATAAATGTTTGACGTTTTTGTCAGTTGTTTTATTTGCATGAATTAAAACATTGGGTGCATTTTTGCAGGTTCTATGTGCCGTTAGTGCGGTGATGTTGAATTCGCTTGGATAAAAGGGCTTGGGTTCCGACAAACCAAAGGTACTCGTAAAACTTGTTCTTTTCGAAAAGTACTCGTTTAACTTGCACTTCGGACTTGCAGGGTCTATTTTCCATCTAATAACCACCCAAAATGGGTGGTGCTGGTGCTTTGTCAATTCCAGATATTCCAGTACTCGGGGTGCCGGTTCCCCAACATATACGTGCCGTTTTGGGGGACTCAAAAGCGGATGTGACGGCCGGCGGGTCACCGGGCTTCTTTAAGAACCAAGTCCACTTTCATACGAGTGAGAGTGTAGCTGCTCACATGCACGTTACTTCCGGTTCCACCTTTGGATAGCTTTATAAGGCACTTTGCGCACCAGTCATCTCCGGATGTTGCGCAGATGATCTCACAGCTCTTTGAGAGGGAGAGCCAGGAGATGCATTTTGTGGGCGATTATCCACCAAGAGCTCGATGAAATGATCTCAAATCATCCAGCGCTTAAAGACATCGGAGTGGGTTCAACAAGACATCCCTGCATCGCAGGGTGTTTTTTTTGTTTCCATCCAAGCATCCCTTGCTGGGTGGAACGTCCTTTTTGAAGTCCTTAACACTTCTCACCCAGATGGCTCTGCGGTGAGAGTTCCTCCACCGCCGAGGCTCCTCTTCTCACCCATTATCCAGGCTTCGTTCAGCGGGGAGAGGACTCGGAGAGGACTAGAGCTCATCGGTTCAGGGGGGGTTGGAGGGTTTTGGTCCTGTCGCAAGGTCATACGAAGACACATCGGGGGCCATCGCAAGGTCAGACACATTGGAACATCAGTTGATAATCTGATACACTATATATATAGTCACTTATAACTAATATCTTATAATCTTATATATACTGTTCTATTCCAGCATCTTCCAACAGGTCTCCTTTGCAGGCTTTTGTAGACTTAAAAGTCGCAGGTGGTGACCTGTTGAAGGGAGCTGGTATATTGTTTTCCCTTGTGACCACCCTGAATTTCGATGCGGTGACTTTACAAAGGAAAGGAGACGCTGCGTTGATATGGGTGAAGGGGCCAACGCAGAGGTCGAACACCAAACGGACCGAAGTGTTTCTTGGGCATCGCCACTAGTAGCAATGTTCGCTACGAACGGGGCGACCCTGGCCTTACTAATTCGTGGGAACCGAATGGACAGGTCCAGGCGCTGGATCCGAAGGTGACCGATGGGATCCGAACACGCGAACGGGCGAACGGGCGAACGGGCTTCGTCTGGTGCAGTCTAGGGCTTCGTTTTGATGGTGGGCCAGGAGCTCTTAGGTTTGGATCACGCGGCGTGGCCATGAATCCGGACTGACTGAGTGGGTCGGTGTTGGTGATCGGGTAATAGCAGGTCATGCGGCCCTGGCGCCGGCTGGTATTGCTGATAAAGGGTTTCTTTGATGTCCCACATCTTTGGAAGAGTCCCATTCTCTTACAACGCCTTCCAAGCCCATTTGACAAGATTGGTTGACCATGAGTTTTGGAGACCCAATCCGCTAGCGTTGTTCAAAACAGGCAGCTGTGCCGGGGAATATCTTCGACCGGGTCAACAAGACCATTCAGAGCCCTGGCCTTTCAGAGCGGGAGGGTCTCCCTAGTGCCAGACAAGCATTACTTGTCGTGGAAGGGGAGCTGCACGAAGCTGCAGTGGAGCTTGGAAGATTTAAGAATAAGCCCCAGATAGAAACGGTTTCCAATGCATTTTTTGTGGTGAGGTGTGTTCTGCTTGATCCCTCAAGCTCAATCGGAGTAATTACAGTAGTTCCTCCGTTTGAAACGCCTTCGGTTTTGTTGGGGCACCCAGGCAAGAGGTTCGAACCGTGCCAGTTCTCTGTACCGTCCGTCTTGCGGGGAAAGAATCGAACGACACCGATGCTACCAATGAGCCTTGGACGAAGAGGCCATCGCGCAGAGCCATCATTGATATGAGAAGAAAACCACTTCTTGTGGACGCGCACGCCTCATGCATGGCGGGGCACAAAAGCCTCATGCATGACGGAGCAAGCACAGTGAAGGAAGAAACATGAAGAAACATTTGGTCATGAGGAACTGCTAAGGCACCCTGGTTCTTGATGGAGGCTATAGGAAACATGAGTTAGGAGCCTAGAAGGTCACCTCTAGGTCACCCATAGAGGATCACTCGGGTGTCCGTAAAGGGTGAATGATCCACATCCTAGCAGCCGAAGCTGGTTTGCATGACCTCGGCGGGTTTAAGGGTGGATCATTCAGGACTTACACCGAGTTTTTTGGCGCATTCTGCATCCGTGCTCTCAGGCTCACTTCAGATCTGTGCGAAGCACGGGAAAACCTCGTGAACGATGCTGCTCGGTGAGTGGCTGGGTCCGTGCTGGTTTGGAAGCAGTATGGGTACTCCTCCACTGGATGTTGTATACCAGTGCCCCCAAGGAGTTCTTCACGGACACCCCTCAACATCCCAGGGGCCAAAAACAACTAAGCAATCGCTTGGGTTCGGCCCCAGTTGTTGGCTGTTTCTTAGTTGGCCTGTTTGGGAGTTTAGGCTGTGACCTCTACAAGTTGCTTAAATTCGATTGCAGATGTTCAGACTAACATCTGCATGTGTCGTTCTCTCAGGTGTTCTAAAACCATCGCCGTTCCACGGACTGTGTTCACCCGAACGATCCAATGCTCCTGCCACATCCCATCGCTGCGAACGACCCTGAGATGGAGGGGTCGGATTTTTGGGGGACCGGATTCGTAGGGCGCCCTGAACGGAGCGTGGCTGGGCATCTAGATATACTGACTGCCCTAAGAATCCGGACCCGAAGCAACAGATAGGGTTCGGGCCCGGACCCCTATGGAGGGTCCGACCCCCATGGCCCAAGGATTCTTAGGGTGGTGCGACTCATATGGAATGATCACGGCGTCAGACAGAGCCACCTGTCAGCCACCTCGACGAGTCGCACCGTTCGCAAGTCGCTCCGGCGACACCTCCACTGAGTGGAAGACAGGTCGCGCCTCCACCGGTGCGAAGCGGAGGGGGCTTCCATCGCACTTCCGTGGACTGAATCGTTTTGACTCATGAACTACCCTCCTGGAAGTCATAATCCATCATGATCCACCACTTATACTATAGGGGTAAAATGGGTTATTTGGACTCTCAGGGCAGTCGACCGTTGTTGGGAAAAAAGGACCTCTCCTCAATCTCCGCGGAAACGCGTTGATCGACCTCTTCATCTCTCGGTCACAACGTTTCGGGTGCCGTTTCACGGTCGCCAGCCGCACAACGGCCAGCCACAACGGCCACGATTCGGTACCGCAGGTCTTCCAACTTCAAGGTGAGACCGAGAACGGCGCGCCCCTCTTCAGGCCAATCAGACGACCAGACATTGACACGGGGACGACGAACACCGAAAATGGCATTTGGGACCGTTGTTGGGGGACATGGACATCAAGAGATCCGGGAGAAGAGATTCCTAGAGCAATTAGGGTTGCTCTAGATATTTCTTGTTTGAGATATCAACTGTGGTTTTTCAAATGGTGTTCAATTGGATCAACAAGATTCAAGGGGTTTGGCGTTCCGTGGCTGAGGGGGTTGGAGTTTGTCACGGTGACCCCGACTGGTTTGGGGTGCTGGTATGAACATAAATTGGTTGGTAGTTCTCAAGACTGCGAACTCCAAAATTTTGCGGTATTGGTTGCGGTTGCGGTCCAGAAAACAATTGGGAGTGGCAGGCTTGAGAACTTCATTCACGCCAAAGACCAAACATGTTCACAGACCAAGCATCGGAGGAATCAACATATCATAGACACTCCAAATATGTGGATCTACATTGACCATATATGAGTTGTAGTCTAATATCGTAAAGGCACTTTATATGGAACGTTTCGTCGGTATTGGGTTTTTATAGCCCCACCCCAAAAGCGATATGGGACGCCCTAACTCAATACCCCAAAACGATACCCACCCCAAGTGTCAACACCTAAAAAAACGATAGGGGACGCCCTAATCTACTTGTGAAAACAGCCCAAATCAATAATTTAGACGCTGGCTCATATGTAAATAGGCCATATATGTAAATGGTCTGGGTATGTGGTGTCTTAACATTGAGAGATCAATTCCCCAAGCAATTGTCGTCGGTGTCGGAGAGATTTTGTGGGAGGTGCCGTTGCGGTAAACCTGGTAAACCTCCTAACGACAGACAATCCTCATTGGTTGGAATGCGTTAGTAACATGGACAGTCTATCATCCTTACTGGGGTGGGGTTCGCCTCTCAACCTGCTGGAGTGTGGTTGACTGGTTGGTTTTGAAGAAGGTCCAGTGGATGTTGAAACGTGAATATCAGCCAGCAAAGAATATGATTCTTACAATTCATTGCTGCTATTGACCATCATTCCTCAAAAATAGGAAGGAGAAAACTGGACAAATTAACACCATGACCCAGAACGGGCGCCGGCCGGCATTTCTCATTTAATAACCTTCCATTTCTGCTTGCCACTAGAGTTCCAGATCAAACTCCCATCGCAACTTCAACGAAAGGGCACGAGTCAACGAACCCTTCGGAGGGTCCTGCCACTCGTTCGTGCGTCACTCGCGGAGAGAGGTCCTTGAAGGGAAACTACCTCTATCATGGTCACTTGGGCGGGTTCAGAAAGGGCGGCTGCAGATGTTTGTTCGGTGGTCCACTGGTCCACCAAAACCAACGAGTCGAGTCTTTGTTCGGCTCCAACCAGGGGTTGTCAGCAAGGTCAAAAAATCGCATGACAACACGACTTGCAGTATTTGGTCATTGGAACTGCGGATTGGCCAGTACTTGTACGCCAAGGGCTTAGGTGGCTCAGGGGGCAAAACAGAGAGCTGCGTACCTCAGACTGAACTGATGTCCTTTCCTGAGGTGGTACCCCACTGAATTGATGTCCCATTCAGACTTGATGGAATGCGTCTGAAGGTGGTACCCCAGACTGAATTGAGCAACGGCATAAACCTCTATCAATGAATTTAGGTAGGACTTAAGATTATGAATCTTTGCGAAAGGAAAACTGCAGTCGAGGAAAGCTTGGCGAAAGGTTTGGAGAAAGGCCTTGATTTTTTGATGAATGGATTTTGTTGCGAAAGGGTTGGCGAAAGAGGTTTGCAGTAATTACAACGAATGTCATCTAAATGGTTGTTCTAAAGCCCCAAAGATTCCTGATAATCAGGCGAAAGGTTGGCGAAAGGTTCGCGAAGATGTTGCGAAAGCAGTGGTTGCAGATTAGGAATGATTCCCCTTTGCTGATACTTTTCTTAGATGTAAGTAGCAGAAACTCGACGAAAGGGTTAGCGATAGAGGTTGTTGCGTGAAGTAGGTCGGCGAAAGCAAAACATGCAGCTGCGAAAGCGTTGCGAAGGGATTGGCAAAAGGTTTCTATGATCTTGATAAACGTTCCGGATGTTTTTTGACACCGCTCAATTGATGTTCTTTCCTGATTTGATAGAATGCGTGTGGAGGTTGTACCCCAGACTGAATTTGAATTGATGTCCTTTCCTGATTTGATGGA